GAGTACGGTAATTGCAGTAACATTTGCCGCTTGCCGCAAGGGAGAATGCCGCGATCGGGGAGATGTTCCGTTACCCGGGTAGACGCGGAACCGCGTCTCTTCACTTTAAGTACTAAGATAAATTGTGAGGAGCTATGTGTAATCGGCACCTTTGAATAAAAATGTCTTATCTGCTTGTCCTATTTCGAATTTCAGTCAGTTGCTTCCCATGCAACACCGTAACGTTCCTCTATTGGTATGGTATAAATTCCATCAAGCTCTGTCGTTTGGCAAAGGTACAGTAATCAAAAGCTGCTTTCGTCTCTAAGTTTTGCACACCAGCATTGATTTTCCCACTTCCATTAATCCAAAAATTACGAGTCTAGAAAAAAAAATTAGACTTCCTCTGTGACTCAACAACCCAGACCTTGGCGATTTCATGGACTAAGCAAGTTAAGGAGGGATCGCGTATATTATTTATGAGCCAAATACCTAGCCCAAACACGTTCGCACGACGCAAAGGCGAGACTGTACAATTTTCATTTCACAAACAATTGAAACGAATGCAAATCACCGAGTTGACTCTACCTACATTGCACGTTAGCTCATCATGTAGGATCACAGACTCAGAACAGATCTATACAAGAATACAAGACCTAAAAATCAAGAAGCGTTATGTACAAATTATCACAAAAACAAAGATTGTCTATTCTTCCACAGCAGTATTGGTGGCATGCTCTGGAACAGAAGCTCGTTAATGAAGCTACCACACCAACTACAAACAATCAACTTTCTCGCATAAAGTTGATTTTGGTAGTGACCTTTAGGAGCGATTAACAAAACCATATCGAGTGCCAACGCACGTATTCAGAAAACAGCAGATCTGGGTTAGGACCAAATGCAAGTGTTAACCATGCCGAAAAGCCGAGTATCTAGGGCATAACTAACAACAGCAGATTTGATAAAAGTTCAACGCAGTTGCGAGTTCCGATGACCCTAATATTGCAAATTAGCCTACTCATGAACTAACTTATTAGCGAAGAACACATATACATTTTTTGTTATTTAAAAGTAGGAGCATCAGCTCATCTTTGAATTTTCATAGTCCCCTCGGTACAAGTATACAGCATTCACGCCTACGTCTATGCCTGTAGTGTTGTCACAACTCTAATATTACCTGTAGAAGCGCCTGGAAAGGCCGGGTTAAAGGCAAAGCTCACGATGAAAATACAATAGTTTCTGAGCTCTCCTCCTAGGCGTACCCAGTGGCCCCCTAGGGTAGAAGGAAGGACGCTGTCTAGCCCCAAAACTCAACAGCTAGGGCCTAGTGGAAGCCCCGCTACCGGATCGCCGGGACTTCCCGCCCCTTCCAGACACCAAAAACTTGAGCAAAAGTAAGGAATTAGTCAACAATTAAAATGAGGGAGATACATCCGCGGTGGGGGGTTCACAGAGTTTTAACACTAACAACCAAACAACTTATAAGTTATCGATTTCACAAAAGATCGGAGACCAGAGTCCGAAACAACTAACTCTGCTTGAACTGTTCTTTGTTGTGATGAAATCGCCAGCGTGGTAATCCAAGGTTCTCGAAAATGTATTTAGATCAGTTTTCAGATTTATTTACCTCTTATAGGCTCCTCCGATCCTGCGCTTGATCTGCTCGACCTCGACAACATCGACGTCAACGAACACAATTCCATTGTCTCTTTCTCTTCACGTGCTAACTGAATCAAATATGGTTAAATCCCACAGGAACTTCACGGGAAGCAGCAATACAAAAAACAAAACAAAAGTGACAATGACGACAAGCGACTACTCCTAGTATCACTACAACTTAATCGATGTTAAAGAACAAAATGACACGTTCTATAAAATAAAAGACCTCTTCCTTGAGCTTCTGGTATCCCTCAGACGGATAAGCGACCATAATTTTCCGGAATTCTTCAGCAAGCTCATTTTCTTCGCTTAAATGTCACCAATCATATAAAGCTCATAGAACGAATTAAATGAAAAATAAGAACTCACAGACAGAGCTTTCTCTCAATCTCGTCAATCCTACTCGATAGCGCATGTTGACGTTCGATTAGTTCCCGTACTCGAACCAATGACTCTTCCATTGAGCCAAGAGCCTAAGAAATCCTCGTAAGATATTGACATTGGGCATAAGATGTTATACACTACTAACTAATACTAATAATACTACTAATAATTTGTTTAGCCGGAATTCAAGTTTTTTCAAAGCTAATTTCTAGTAATTTTCGAACCAGTACAGGTTGAGAAGAACAAGCTTTTTCGAGATTTCCTTTTTCGTGCTCTTAGAGTTAGTGAAGATGTGTGGTGGAAGAAGAACTCGCAACATTTGGGCTGTCTATGGAGCGATTACAATTGGTAAGAAAGCACTCCTAAGCGTATGTCAGGTTCAAATTCATTTTTTTACCTTAAAACTTCTACAGCACCTCGCCACTGCTACAAATAAAAAGGTTACTTGATGGGGAATGTCTATAGGTTCAGTGCAAAATTTTCGCACGAATTCAGTAGCAATAACGAAAACCAGGAAACCACAGTTTTTGCGGATTTGGTTGCTCATGAAGACTTGATTGAAGAGAGAAAGCTCATCGAAAGATATAGGGAGCATTCAAAAATGCTCATATTTAAATAAACCTGAACAAAAAAAATTCGACGATATAGCATTATGCCAAATTGTTCCATGATTTAGGAGAAATCGACTCTAAAGAATGGAAGGGACTTAGTTGGTGGTCTAATAAATCAAGCCCACCTTCAGGCATCATTTACTGCTTCTCTCGGTCAACATAACATTTCTCGGAAATTAAACACAACAAATAGGACTGAATCACCTGATTACAGCCACAGTTGATCATATTCAGTGGAGGCACGAGATCACCGGATGTGTACGCTTCAAATTCAGATCGTTCCATTTTCAGACTAGCATAATTCATATCTTGGACGAATTGCAGAGCGCAAGAAAGGTTTGTGAAGAAATATCCTGGAAAGCGTAACATGGAGTACAATCAACATCCACTTTACGAGCCACCGTTTCCCTTATTTCACACGATTTCATAGATCCTACTGGAAGCATCACAGAAATGGAGAACGACAGCTGAGTTTCGCATTCACAAACTCCGGCCTCAAAGCTACGGATTGAAACACTGTTCTCATGACGGACTGCTGAGTAAATAAGCATCAGCCGTCCTCATTTCGAATAAACAATCATGTATTCACCTATTCATTAAAGCCGACCCACAAGAAAAAGTGCCCTCGGGAACCTATTTTATCTGACCGTTTGTGCTATTTTCGGAAGATAACTTGGCAACACAGCCAGGGGAACAGAAGGGGAACGGTTTGATCGCTTCAGCGACATCACGGTGTATTGATTGCAAAAAACGGTGAATTCCTGTACTTGATTACTGGAGAATGAAGAAACAGCTTCAAAGGTTTTCACTCGACCAATATCAACATCAGCTTAAATATAACAACAACGAGTCGACTTTTAGCCGCAAACTCGTGAATTGAACGAACACTCAAACAGGAGAACTCACCTGATTCACCGCTCATTATGCGTGATGGCAACGCAAATCTACTAATGAACTTCACATTCGATTGAATCAATGGTGGGTTGCCTTTTAAAAGAACATATATCAGTACGGGAAGAAATTCATCAGCACTTGTCGGAGCACCTAAAACGGTAGGTATAACATGTCCCTGATCGCTCTCAGAAAACAACAAATTATATTTTAAAAAAAAGAATATTTGTTAGTAATAAAGTCTACTGGTGTTAAACAAAATTATCAAAACACTATTTCACAACGGAATGATTGTCGATCGACGAGCGTATTCGCTAAGAAAGACTAGAGATTGCTACAAGACAAATAATTCTTGTGAAAAGAACGAGATTTAATACCTCAATTGGTAAGGAAAAAATAGTTCAACTCGTGTTGAACGAATTTATAAAGCTTGGAAATGAGTTCTGTCTACCTATAAAACACGCCACGTTAACTTCTTCGATTCTATACTGTGGTAGAATTACAATGTTTGCTAACGCTTCCTTTAACTTTAAACTTTTATGGCACTACACGGTGTTCTGCATTCATACATCAGATATGCCCTATAGAGCCGAATCCATGTTGAAAAGTCACCTTCGCCTACTTAATCCTACACGACCTCATTTTATTGAACACAAGTTAACCATGTTTGAAGAAAAGATTATAGTACAATATGTATGTACATATAATATGTACCTCTACCTATACAGAGGCGAGCTTGCAATCGTCTTGTACACGAAACAGCTGTGTATGTGAGGAAAAAATGAACATGAAAAAATTCTTAGGGCCACTCTCGAAATATGTCCCCTTATAAGCTTAGTCTCACAATCAATCAAGCCTCGACTGCAAACAATTCTCTTGTGAATTTCAACCAAAAATTCTAACGCCCGATTTCCGATTTGCAATCCAGCCTAGGGTTAATCAAGTTATGCACCAAAACTTTATAGGAATTTGAAAGAATGTCAATGTTCACTTACCGCTCTCTTTGAGAGCCTCGAAAATTTTGTGCGAACACCTAACAAGACAATCGAGCTTCTCATCTGATCGCCGATGACTGTTTATATCTATCATTTCCGCGATAGCATCATCAAGAAGGTTACGAACCTGAATAAATATCGGTAATATAATTTTGGGAATGAACAGGTTCCCAAATGAATGTGAAAAAGTTGACCATACAGTTCCTATAAAACCGCAAAAACAAGTCGCAGAAGTTGTTTTTTTTAAACCATCGGGTTTTATATCAATTATCATAACTACGCGCTGGATCTCACGGATTTCCCTCACCAAACATTCTCTCTCACTGAAGGGTCTCTAGCCGACCGGTGACAAGACTCGGCGCGATCAAAATTGCGGATAAGTAAATAAATCACGAACCAAAAGGGACCTGCCATACCGGTCCTAGTCAGAGACGATTCAGGGCCGCTTCTAAAAAATAAGTCTTTGTCCTTTCTGGGACTCCATGGCTAGCTGAGCGAAGACCACCCAAACCCAACGTTGGAATAGGGAAGCTACTTGGCGTACTCATATGCAAAAAAACAATAATAAAATGGGCCTTTCCCTGAACTAATGACAATACAGCAGCGTCGGTTAGGACTGCTAAGGAAGCTATTGTAATCACAGGGCCGCAACTGGCTGCCTGAAGGAGACGATCAAGATGGCGACCTGTACCCTCAGCGCAGGAAGCTTACGCCGGAAGCGTGTATCGAAGAACTGACGTTGCAAATATGGAAGATCAAGAACGACTTTATTGAAGACCTCGGCTTCTGCATACCGCTTGCTTCTCTGACCGGAAAATGATTATTTTTTCACAGAAGAAACGTCGACGGGTAGGTGTACTTGTCAATGTGCAGTGTAGGTGCCCATGTCAATACGCGCTTGGCTGTGAACATCGATTCGTACGAAAGCTTGACAAAATGAATTGTTGACAATGTTTGCAAATGAGAAGATGTGGCTCAATATCAGCTCAAAAAAATGGTCTAGATGCGTTCTTTATTGGCCTGGAAAAGCTCAAAAGAGAAGAGCATTCCTTTTCAAATCATCGTCGACGATTTTGAGGTCACGTTGTAGACAATTCCAGGATAGAATGGATTACATCGTCTTCAATTGAAATTTTGTCTGATGTCGCTATTATTCGGGAATTCCAAAGACTTCTACACGGGATCTCCTTCATAGCCGATGATTTCGACGCCAACGGTGACTCCGGAAGGACGACTGAATAGTTTCACATGTAAGCTCACGGAATGGAATGAGCAGAAAGAAGGACTGTCATAGTTTATCATATCGACTCATAGCATCCCTGACAGTTCGCAGTTGCACAAGCCCTCTCATTCGCGATTCGCGACGGTCCTGGGAGTCACGTGGTAGATAATCCCATAATGAAATAGATTACATCACTTCAATTGAAATTTTGTCCGACTACGACTAACGTCGCTGTTGTTCAGAAGTTCCTTTCGTCGCCGTGACCGAACCAATGCTACATCTCGAGGGAAAATGGAGAAGAATGTTCACGAGCTACCAGAGAGGATCTCTTCAACAACCACGTCTATGTGCCTACCTATCTTCTTAGGCAGGAAGAATATGCTGCCTCTTCATCATTCACTTTCGCAATTCGACATGCCATCATGTCGACAATGATTTGTAGGCGCCCTCTCAAAACTGGTCCCGATCAAACCGAAACATTTTAGAAGCCTTTCCAGTTATCTTCGAAACCCAGAACATAAGCCATATCAGTCGGAATGCAAAATGTTTTTAACGTGGAAAACTAGCAAGTCTGTGTCGCTGTATAATTAGGGAGGCGATATTAGCGACTACCGCATAATCTGCTTGTAGTCTGTGATCTAAGCTTTTCGCACGAGTCTTCTTACGGGATGGGAAAAAATGGACAGAAGCGGCAATTGGAATCTTGGACAACCAGGACTTCCTACTCAATACATAAGGATGCTTCGTATGCTCTATGACGGGTTCTTTATTCTTTCGCCATTCAACAAGGACGTCATTGTCAATGTGATGGTTAGGGGTTTGGCAAGGCATTAACTTCTCTCCCAAACTTTTCAGAGGGGCTCTCGACAACATCATGCGTCATTTAGAATGTGAAGACATAAAGATGAACGTCAACGGCCGCTACGGATCGATTACCTTTGAACACACTACGTGTATCTAAGGTACATAGGTTGAAAAGTCAGCGCCAGTCAGCATCTGAGCTGAGCAGACGGAAACACTCGGAGTGGAAAGCATTCCAGTACATCGAGTGGGTACCGAAGAAGACAAAAGACATTTGGATTCACGCTCACCTTCCTTTCCGACAATGCGGTCGTTCTTGTTCTGAAATACGCTTCAGACCAGTGGACTCTACGAAAGCAGAATAATCATACCCGAGCGTCACAGGCAAATGCGGAGGGGAATCAGAAGTTTCAAACTCCATTGAAGGGACAAGATCAGAAATGTCGTTGTTCAAACAAAGGATGGAAATATCAAGTGAGCAGGACACGTCGAGAAATACTGTAATAGCGGTTGGACCAGTTCGTTTACTGACTGGATCCCTCGAGACATGAAACAAACAAAATTACGATGGTCAAACTTTTCCACGAAAGCTCTGAACAAAGGAGTACTGAGCATCGTGTACCGCGAGCAGAAACCATGATTCAGTGGACTACTCTGGTTCGCCTTAGGGGACATTTCAAAACGTTAATGGCGCCCGTTCAGGAAAATCGATGATAAATGGGGCGACAGGTTACAGCTTTGTTTTTAGCACTGAAAAGTTCAGCGCGCTCACAACGCGACACATTTCCTAATCCTGGTAAGAAATTCCGTAGATCGAATAATCTCCTTATGGGCTTCTCATATAACTTCCCCATCGATTTCATCAAAAACATCCTTTTCACGAAAAATACTTACCGTTTGTCGACTGAAATCGAGTTTCGTTTCAAGAAACCCAGCTGTTACCCAGTTCAACGATCGGATACGATCTTGCAAGGAGAGATCAGCCACTTCTTCATCAGAGCTGAAATTTCTAATTTATCCAAGTTCAACCGAAAAAAAAAGCAGAAAGGAGAAAATGATGGTGCAGCAGGGGGAGCGAAGGGAAAACAAGACAAAAACCACCTTGCGCAAAACAGACTATTATAACAGCAAACGCATATGTATTTCTCCACTTCGGAAATGACATCTTCGACTTTTACTTTACACTCTGAAAACCATCATATCATGATTGCTTTTCAATAGAAAATTTAAGGAAACTCACTGTCTTGGTTGAAAAATGGATTTTGGCTTAATTTGTCGATGAGATATTGGTAGAAGCTTTGAACTAGCTCAGATAGCTCGTCCGGTGTCACTCGGAGCTATAAAGGATTACGTATTAAACCGACGATTCTGCACAGAACAGGTAATGTTAGGAGCAATGCAAAGGTTGAGTTTTCATATCAGTGCTTCTTTTTAATAAGATTATTCTGGCTTCTGTCCATACTCCTCATTAATTCTCTTCACAAACACTGTAAAAGCCAATCGGCGTAATCCCAAAAACCTTCGCTTCCAGTTACAGCCTTTATTGCAACTTTTGATGATGCACATGGCTCAAGATCATTGTGACCCTACCTACTTGAATCATCCATTTGAAAAACGATTCCGAAATCATGAAGGACGAGCACTGGACCCTTACCTCAGAAATTTTCATCACAGCATATTTCACTTGACGAGTGATTTCCTGTAGAATAGCTGTCGGCAAACTCATCACCAGGAAATCAGTTAGCACCTCCCTAGCTGCCTTGCTATCTGGACTGAGCTGCCTAGTTCTGAAAACGTATGAGAACATTTCAAAAACCAAGATACGAACTCCAGTATCACGCTCATATTCATGTAATCCTCATATCAGGTACACACCTACCGACAAACAGAGCGAATTATAACTCCCCTAACAAAATAAAGGGATGTGTTTTGTCTTTGTTTTTGTTGTCATGCTGATGTGTTTGACCGAAATTCACAGCTCCTCGCCCGTAAACGTATAGCGTTCAAATTTAGAATTAATAGAGGCGGTAGTGTGGTTGACACCAAAGGGGGGACGCCTTTGCCCCCCACAGAGGGTGGAGCGTGCGCGAAGTGAAACCAGCGAAATGCGCGGTAAAGTTGGAGAAAGTAGGAGTTGGGTGAAGTTGTTTGAACAAACATAACAGCTACACGCCGGCCTACTTGAGTAAAAACTTGCCGTGCCAAGCTAAGTAAAAAACATCTCGGAACTAGTAGACACTGAAAGCTGTAGCAGATTGAAAGCAAAGATTGAAACACAAGCATCCTTGATAGATTGGTAAGGAACTAAGAAGAGCGGAGCTAGATCTCCGAAACCGAAAATTCACACTCCTTTTCAGACCGTTCTTATGAAAGGCAAAAATGTGGACAGAAGATAGCATGAATAGAGAAAACATAGCAGGTTGGGAGGGCGGGAGGCGAAATTAGTCGACATTGCCCAGCAGTAGTGACTGTTGTGTCTTAAAGCGGTTATTCACACCTTCTTCCTCAGATGTAGAGTGTTCAAGTACCATGGATGATGCGTTGCAGGGATCTCGGTCAATACCGATCAATCGATGACAGTTCCATTCGGATGTACATATTCAAACACAAGGAGTTTGTAGGGAGGTTGGATGTGCAAATTTTCGTACGCTTGTTGTCAAGCCGTGACTCGACTGGTATCTACACAGTTCAATAAACTGATATATACTCCCTCAACATCCATGATGTTTAAGTGAATTAATGAGATTAGATGAACTCACTGTCTGGCAGGTGTTCCGTTTGGCGAGACATATTGTGAAGACGATAATGAATCACCTGAAATGCAAAAACTATGATGATGCAAATAAAAAAATTTAGTTCATTATAAGGATAATGACGTTATTTACAACAATTACAATTATAATCACATAATTTTATGAGTATTAATTTCCAGATCGCTCTACTTCTCATATGGGCTGCCACCGTACCAGGAGCACTTGCTATTGGTAGCTCATACTATGGGCTGTCATCGGCATGAATGAGTTAGATACTTTTACAACCCGTAATATTCGAAAAAGTGCCAAAGTTACCTAAGGGAAAAGGTTACTCCCTAAGAACTCCAGCATTTGCCACTCCTCATCAGCCTTATCGATGTTAGCACCCTACCATGAGCGTTCCATTTTGCCACGTGCACCCAACGCTCCAAATCAGGGCCACTGGAGATTTGAATTTTCGGATCAATCTGTCATGTCTATCCCATTTCTTGCCATTAATAGATTAACTGCCTCGAACGCGTCAAGGAAAAACCTATCGCATTGCCCAATATTGGCATGTGATAGGTTTTTCCTTGATTTGTTCGACAAATTAATTCACTGACAAAAAATGGAATAAAGTTTATTACGCCTGACTTCCCTCTATCCTGATTCGGAATCGAACCCTCGACTAACCTTTCCGCTTCTTTTTCGGAAAGGAAGACATATTTCAGACCCCTAACTCGGCAACCCTCTGATGACTGCGCGCCTTTTTACGTACGCACGGAATAGGCTCTTTTCGAAGATTCACCTTTATGCCACGCTGTCCCACGATTGCTCCTTTTTCTGGTATAAACGATTTCTACCTTTTCAATTTTTTTTTCAAGATCCAATTTGAAGTGTAAATTAGATAATTAGTGTTTTGTACTCCTATCAGTTTTAGTTATGTACTCCTATCAGTTTAGTTTTATGCATATCACGGCTTTGTTGGCCAAAATGAATCAACCAGTAATGGACGATTTGGAAGTAGGTTTTTAAAGGTTATTGGTTCGACTTAGCAGGACTTCGATCTCGTGGCGGGCGGGGTGCGCATTAGTGAGCCGGCGTGTGCATTTTTTCCGTTTAAATTTATTAGCTCCTGCCCTTTTGAACCAGAGCTTTTAAATGTCAAAGAATGCAGATTGCGGGTGAGCTTTCCCACAATAAGTAGCCCAGCGTCATTCGGACGATACGACTGGTTAATGAGAAGAAGAAAACGGATAAACACCATATTTTTGCCAAAAATTAACAAAGATGAGGTAGAGCAAGTCTTTCACTTACTTGAAGTAGATGCTAGCATTGAAGGGGATCGAAAAATCTTCTTGATCGTCAGAGTGCGACTTTCAGTTGCAGCTTTACGGCGTTCTTGGAAATTGTCAAAACCAAGTAAGGTCCTGAAACATCGGAGTCTCGAAAAAAATACATTATCAGCAAGTATTTGAGCAGAACAGTTACTCTGCAGTAGGAGCAGAGTTGTTCAAGCGACAAATTCTAAAATATTCAATTTTGGAGATGAAAGAGGCTGAAAACGGTGAAATGCTCAATCGTGAACTTGCCAAAATATACGCAAGTGGTCAAAGTTTACTTGAAAAGCAGTACTGGTTCAATTTTTGACCAATAAGAGCAGCCATATACTAGTGGTAGTGTTCTGGCTCTGCGGATAGCAAGGCATCTCGCCACCTACTAGTGCGGGAGGTTGCTCCATACAATCTTCTTAAACAAATATCTTTATTCGTAATTCGTGTGTTTGGTCTGAATGAGGACATGATTGCAACCACCATTTACTCCGAGGAATAACCGCTTTATACGTAGTGAAATTCCCCAGTAAACATTCATATTCCATTGCTTTTAAATTCACCTTATGAACAATCTGCCTTTCCACATTCACTGACAGAACACGAGATGGTTTCAAGATCAAACAAAAAAAAATCATACGTGATGCAATGCAAAATCTAGAAATGCATGCAGTGAAATGCGAGCTTTTTGTGGGGCCCTTATTTGTGGAAATTTACTTAGATTACGTTCAATTTACGCATGCTCCTGCTGTCTGTACGCCTACCAAATTTGAACGATGTCTGGATCAACATTTCCCGTGCACACCCTGCCCTAATGGGCGGAGTCCACTCGTCGCAATCCACCAGCAATCCCTGCTCCAAACGCACAGAATTAGGACTGTAGACACGATAGCAGGAAAAGGGATTTGTGATAGATCAGCACTACGGCTGTTTTGGTATACGACGTTGTCGTTGTCGATCATTGACCGAGCAGTGTGCATTGAAGTTTCGTAGTAGTGAAACAGAAGACCAGCAGAGGGCCTTCTACTTCACCCTTACAAAACTGATGGCTTCCACACTCAGGCTTGAAATGAAATATTGTGACTGATGGGCAGCAGTGCACCCTCTCTTGTTACCTAGCGTAAGTGGCATGGTCTCTTCTTCTTAGAACAGATCTGCTTCGACGAAGCTCGTCAAAGACGACGTCGACTGTCCTCAACTACCGAATACTGGCTTGTCGTAAGTACAAACGTCCTGAACATTTAAGGAAGTGGAAATTCCATAAAACACGACCTTCTATGCAAAAGCCACTTCCAAAGATATCCAATTGCAAATATCCCACACTCCTTGGCTGAGCAGGAGCATCGAAAGCGAGTTAATGTGTGTCAGAAGCTCCTCGATTGTAAGCAAACGTCGACACCAACGGACTTCATTATTGCTCAGGATGAAAAGTAGATGCCATGTAAAAATTCACACGGGAAATCGCAATGCCTACCAATGGAGGTAAGGCCACAGCCCGCACGTAATCCGTGGATCTGTCGAACATGATGATCGATGAAATTTCTCGCATTGGGAAGCGGAGTTGCTAACTCCACTTACCGGAAGCGTAACCAGCTTCCGTGCCGCCAATCGCGGTAGAAGTGGATAGCTCTCGATATCCTAGCGGGCAGGAAAGCAACTTTGCAAAGCGTACTCCGTGCAATTTTTTTGCACATTACCCTTGTATAACTGTGAGGGAAATGATTACTTTTAAATATCATTTCGTTAATATAATTCCTTCATTATTTCGTAAGCTTAGGCAAACTACAATCGCGGCCAGCTAGCTATTGCTAGTAAAAGCGAGTTTGAAATATCGTTGTGCGCAGGAAAAGCGCGAGAAAGGCGCTAGCCACATAACCAATATAGGCTACTGTTATAAGGACAATCTAATGAACAGTAAGACAATTTGGAAATTCTTCGGTATTTGTACATGGGTAATCGAGATTCTACCCTCTCGTAGCAATCGATACTAATTGTAAGGTATCAAAGGCTCATGTTCCAGATTATGACTGACAAAGAGATTTCGCACGGATGCTGTCTCTGGAGAACAGGGGCGACGTTCGAGTCACGAACCTACAATCGCAGGTGCCACTGATAAGTTGACTACTGATAAGCGCCCCATCACTGATCTGGAAGACTCAAAGCACAGTCGATTCTTCTCCTACAAACAGCCTTGCAAAATTTTCTCCAGATTCTCTCCTCCGCCGTCACCTGCCTAACCAGGGGTAACGAAGTGAAGGCCGTGCTGAAATTTCAGCTCGTTGAAAACCCTTTCTTGAGGTGTCCCTCCGCATTCTAAGAGTAACAACATCGCCCCATATAGAGAGAAGCGTATCTCGTTAAAGGCGCACGACTAATGTCTATTTAGAAGAACTACCAGGAATTCAAAAGAGTTTAACGTACAAAAAGAAAAAAAAAGTAAAAAAAAGCAACACACAGAAATATGAGATAGTACTAACGCTAGTTTACCTATTTTTCGCATAGTCCTGACTCCTTTTTTCTGCTAATTGGTGTTCACGCCAACATTTCGAACAGCGATTTCCCCATTGTGGAGTTCCATAAAAACCACATCCGTTCACGCATAGCTGAAGCGAAACTCAATAAGTCATGATCCTGAGACACGTTGGCAGCCGATAATATTAACATCCCAATGTACGGGCTGAGAAAACAAGAAATATCGTCTCCACCAATGAATGCTGCTGAAGGGCCAAAATGCTATGCCGCATTACCTAGCAGTCCGAAGCGACTGAAGGAATTACGAGAGGGTATAACACAACAATGCTCCGACAATTATTGAGTTGACGAAGTAAAGTTGTTACTATACTTACTAATACCTGAAATACTGGTAAGTTATCGTGCTAAACAACGGCCAAACAAGCCGTGTGTAGTGGGTTCAACACTCATCCTCTCTATAGCTGCACACTTCGACCAAACATCTCTACTTTGTTCCCACCCTCCTGAGCTCAATCCTTGCAACAATAAACCACTGGAACGACATAATTTCTAGTTTTCGAAGGTCAGACACACAGAGAACTTCCGAGGACACAACATATGTGAAGGTAAATAAATAAATTACAACGAATCCAAATTCTTCTACTGGCATGTCGAGCCTTCTGAACTTATCGAATCAACCATTAAGAAAGTAAATTTGAACTACTCACCAAATCCTTCTCATTGATCTGAACTTTCAGTCGCCGACTTAATTCATTTTCTTCCCCATCTGAGAACACATCTTCGTGATCTTCACCGCCCAATGCCATCTAAATGAAAACTAACACTTATCAAACATGAAGTATCATACCCTAAGAACGACGACAACTAGTCAGATAAGAACCGACCGTAGACAGGCACAGAACACGTCACATTTCAGAATTCCAAGAATGCATCGACTAAAAGGAAAGAGCAAGAGCTGAATACTCAAAAGCTTGAAGGCTATAGTGCATTTCATCTTAACCAGGGTGACCAGGGTACAGTTGACAGTGAACACGCGCTTTCAGACTTCAACGACGTGCGCTGTTTCAACCTACTGGCTGCCTTCAAAACTTCAACGACCGACCGACCGGTTGCGGCGATGCTGGCCACGTGTTGACAACGCAGGACACGAATGAATCGCGTTCTCCAACAAATGACGCGGCCTTCATCGCAATCTGGCCAGCGTGGTCAACATGTGGCCAGCGAAGCCACAATCGGTCGGTGGGTCGGGTCGTTGAAGTCTGGAAGCAACCTCTGACCAATCGAAAGCGTTGCTGGCCACGCGTAGACAATACAGGACAGAATGCTTTCAGTCTGTATCGATCGGTGTCCAGCATTGTCAACACGTGGGCGCTCGCACGTCGGACAACAACGCACGCCGTTGATGCCTAAATGTACCCAAGAGAGCTGCACATTGTCCGCTTTATCGCACCCACTCCAACAGTGTCTAGCGAACTTTATAGACAAATCAAGACGTAATGCAGAATAAGCACGAGGCTCACATGCGAGTTTTAGAATTGAATCGGAAAGCGGTCGTTAGTTCATATAAGATGCGTGACACAACAACTGGAACAAAAAACGGAAAATTCAGATTATTCTCGCAAAGATGAGAGGCATCAAATTCGGGTGTGTGTCAAGACGTGCGTCCGAGGGCGCGCGCGGCAAATTGTGCGGCGAAGTTCGTGGCGAGATTGGACGACTGCGGCGTTTATCATTGGACCCGAATCTAAAGTAGGATAGATAAGTAAGGTCAGCTGATTCTACTATTCTACTGTACTTCAAAACGGGGCCCAAATTATAGGCGCTAAAGTCGTCAAAATAGGTATGAACTTCGCCGCGCAGTTTGCCGCGCGCACCCTCGAACGCACGACTTGAACATCCCCCATCAAATTCCTGTCCAAGCGATTAGACGTGGTTCAACACAACCACATGGCTACCTCATCCACCCGTCCTTGTCCCAGAACTATTTCTGATGTTCCTACATGTGACGAATAAATTTTTGGATTCAAATGAGGCTTTGTCGTGAAATAATAGAAATCGTGTATGAGATTATGCGTCCATTTTGCATGATATTCCACCTCCTACTGAATTTGTGTTCCTGTGAGATGAGGCACCTGATGGCTAGTACGTTTATAGTGCAACACCGAAAGAATGTGCATGGGAGCTGAGGGAGCTTAGACAATTTTATCCCCCTTCTCAAGACCATTCTGATGAAAATGTCATTCATATGCTCATTTTGTAATCCCATCAGAAAACGTTGAATTGTTTGGAGGGATCAACTTTTGCTTATACGACAAAATTCAAAAACGTGTTATAGGGCATCAGTCACGTTCAGATGAACAAATTTTCGCATTCAATACATACTTTCTCTTTCACTTTTATACGAGGGTGTGGTGCACCCCTACAACCTTAGGACAGCGATCCTTCCTGCCAATTGTACCTTTTAGAATTGAAAACCCTCTATCGTAAGGAACAGCTTTCCTCGTGTCCCGACACACTCCAACTAACCAGCGGGCACGCCTAGCGAGTTATGTACAGTAGGATCTTTAATTGAAATCTATTGACTCCCCACGCACAGAATGTAAAACATAGCTTGATCGGTACAATCTGCTTGAACATCACCCGAGTCGAACAACTCTTTCCACTCTCTTGCTTCAATGACGCGTTAATTAGAATAAAAGTAATTAGAATCGATAAGTTGTGATATGGAGGAAAGTGGAAACACTGATCAAACATAGAACCTCATATTATGGGTTGAATACGTGCATAATCAGAAAGCAATTTGGAAACAAATGAGGTCAAACTGTGAAAATCACTACCACGCTAACTGGACAAATTGTAAACTCACTACTATTTCAAAACCAATCGAAGGCAATTCAATGACCACTCAAGTTTGCGGACCATTTCCTGATGCAAGGTAGTTGGAAGGACACATAAAATGTAGCAAAGAGTGCAGGCTCAGCATGGCCTGCGCGCACGAAAACACCTCGGCGTCATTATCGAGGCAACAACTTCCGCGCAGACAACAAGCACAGCAGCAGAGGCGAGTTTTGCAGAAAAATGTCTTGTATAAGGGAAACTGGTTAAGAAGGGAAATTTTGACGGTCTCTGAAAGAAAACATTAGGATAAGATCATGGTAAAACCACCCAGAGTATACGTGTTCTAGGGCAATATTGGTGGCCCAAAACGGGGTGGAGCTTTACCGAAACAATCATGAATGATTGATTCGGATTCTCTGAAAGAAAGCATTAGGATAAGATCATGGTAAAACCACCCAGAGTATGCGTGTTCTAGGGCAATATTGGTGGCCCGAAACGGGGTGGAGCTTTACCGGAACAATCATGAATGATTCATTCGGATTGACAAAAATCAAAACAAGTTCTTCTTATTCTTACGATGATGCCTTTCACTTCGAAAGGTCTGAATATGCTATGCAATACAAAATTGTTAAATTCAAAACCAAGGGGAAATTACATACCCGATCAATTGTACACGCTCGGACCCTTTCAACTCACTGCTAACCACGTGATGCCGATGGTGCGAACCACGTGCGGCCGTCGGTGCAGCACGCTATTGTTTCAGCCTTTTTATCCCTGTCCCAGATTTTTCACGTTCCGATGTGGTGAGCCCATTTATTCGAGCTTGGAAAATGAAATATGTATGTGGGACGG